TGATGCACACTTTCTTTACATAAAACTCTCTTATACATGAGTTGCTGTGGATTTGTTTCTCCAAAGTACCTAGACTAATACAGGTATTCTAGACATAATTAATTGTTTGGTCAAAAGTGCCCCAGTTCAATCAGCAACACATCTTGCTCGGGGTGTATTTCTTCTGCAGGTGACCGGTCCCGTCCCGTCCATTTTACGTTGTGGAGCATTGGTTTCAAACAGCCTGGTGTCTGGCCAAATCCCAGAGTCCCTTTCTGAGCACGTAGGCCAGTGGTGGTCCAAAGGGCCTGCGGTGTGACAGTCAGCAGCTCTCAAAGACGTGCGGTGTGAGCCCCTCCCCACAGCCACAGCCCTGCCATTTGATCTTCCCTCCTCTCCCACGCGCCAGACACCTCTGAAACCTGATGTGTCATTTCTGTCTCTTCACCACCTGTAAAGAAAGGAGGCCCGGGGATGAGCTATGGCTGAATTAGCCAGCTAGCCAGCCCCTCGCAGGAGGTAAGAAAAGGCCAGCTCGCTGACCCAGGCGGCAGTGTCCAGGTCCCAGAGGGATGGGTGTGTCTGAGCTTCTAGAAAATTGCCAGAGAAGGGGATCCCAGTGGAACCCCTGGGGAACCCACCCTTGGTCCGTTTCTCCGTTTCCATTTAAAGGCTCTTCGATGAGCAACAACCAGAATCGATGAACGTCTTTGTGCGTTTGCACGACTGCTGACTGCAGTGACAGGGAGGAGGGAGCCGTCTCATGAAATAGCAGAAAACATAGCCTGGGACTTCCTGAAGGGCCTGCTGGCCACACAGATAATGCGCTCCCTTCCCCAGAGGGACAGGACCACACACCCTGTCCCCTCAGGCCGGACAGACGGCAGATCTTCTTCCCTGCCTGTGATACCCCAGACTCCTCTATCTGTCCATCAGGAGCCGGCACCATCTCCACCACGTATCAATGTCCCCACAACGTCGTCCCCAGGGGGGAAGCACCTTGGCTGTTATGATGCTCTGT